CCTCCCGCCCCCCCGGCCCCCACCGGGTCGCCCCGCCGCCCGCTGCCTGCAGTGCCGCCCGCTGCCTGCAGTGCCGCCCGCTGCCTGCAGTGCCGGGCGCCGGCCCCTGGATGGCAGCCCAGCCCCAGCCTGGGCTCTGGCGCGCCGGGCTTGGAGGCACATTCCCTGCCTGCCACTGCTGCGGGAAAAAAAAAAAGGTCTGGTGGGGTGGGAGAGCTTCTGCTGCACGACCTGGGCCTTGGCGGTGCATCACCTGCGGCACCGGGACTCATCCAGCGCACAGCGACACCCGCGTCACCCACCGTGCTGCCAAGGCAGAGCCTTGCGGGTCCCAAATAACCTTGCTAATATAATTACACTTAATTACCTGCAAAACGCAAAGAGGGGAACAAAGGGAAGCCATGCAATTCTTACCATGGGCTCCAGGTGATCTATGTAACATCTGCTTGAACAGAAATCACTTTCCAGCAGGATCTGCTTCTGCAGCAGTCTCTCATGGAGGACAAGGTCACAGTAAGAGGGGCTTGGGTTTTTTGGTTTTGTTTTTCCTCCTTGCTTTAAGAAGAAAAGTGAGAACACAACCATGTACATGGTTCAGGAGCACTGACAACATAGCATCGGAACAGAGCACCTTCACACCATAGGATGGTTTGGAGCATGGGATGGGGAATGACACATTGGGTAGCTGGGTTCCCACACTCACCGAAGCATTTCGCTTGTGGGAGTTTTGAAGTGGCTTAAGCCCACAGCTGTGCCACCTTGTTTGCCCAAGATGATGCCCAAAGAGAAGGCCAGGCACGAACCTGTAATCTGGGTTGATCCACAAACTCATCTCCATTCCATCAGCAGATAAGCTGCAACATGCCTCTTGCACAAAACACACCTACCTGTTTTCACCAGTGAAAAAAAAAAAATCCCCAAACATTCCAGACAGGTCAGGAGGGGGACAACTGGACCAGGTTTAGGTAGTTAAGGTCACAGAAGTTTGTTTACATGACACGAGTCTCACACAAATTGTTCCTGATTTTCATCAAAGCCACCAGTGGTTCAGGGGACTTCTGCGCTGTCAGGCCACTGTTCTGGCAAAGCTCACTGGCGCCCAGGCTCTCATCCATGGGTTGCACAAGTGAAGAAATTGGTGCATTGGGATCACCATGTCCCTCCAGCACCCACAGCCCTGGTCCAGCCTTGCTGAACACAGCGAGGAGGCAAATCCCCCCCAACAGCCAGTGGCTGCTGGGCATCCCCTCTCCCACCACAGCACCCCAAGACCCAAATCATGCCCAACTTGTGTCAGCTGCCACTATGCCCCCAGATCCATGGTTTCTGGAAACGAGCCTGGATGACACGTCCCTGACACAGGGAACAATTTTTCTCCCTCCTCCCATGTTTTGCCCTAACAGGGCTCTTCCCCTATACCCGCAGACATCCTCTTTGGGCACAGAGCAAGACTTCAAGAGCAAGGTTTTACAGAAGCTACCATAAAGGCAAAACCTCACTAAAACACAGGTTGAGAATAACTGCGCTGCCAGTGCCCATTTTAAAAAATGAGAGTTCCTCAAGCACACCCTGATTCTAGGGTATCGCACAGATCAATGGACCTGGTGCAAAACATAAAGATCAACCAAAGCAAAGCTAAAAGCAACTGAAGACAGACTGCCATGCTGGGTCAGTGTAAATAAGGAGAGAAGCATGTATTTAAGTGTTTTTATTTCAACTAATGCTTTGCCACCATATTACATCACTTTGAATAGCTTGGAATAGCAATATGATCTCAAAATATAGCAAATAGCTTGCCAAAGCAAGATAATATTAAATCCTATGGATACAGCATCTTCCTTCTTTGGCGACACCACTTCCTTTTATCTGTAAAAATAGTTTTATGTTCCAGCACATTTGCTGTTCGGTTTATTGAACCCTGCTGTTTATAACATTTGCCTCTTCCCCGCACAAAACCTCCCCACAATGTAGTATGGTTTTATATCCAACAGCATTTTAAATAAAAAAGTTATAGTTTTCATGCAGATTTTTGTAAAAATTATATTCTAGGTGCACAGAACTGAACCAAGATGCATACAAAAATGCATTCACTTCCATTCTCAGGTGTAACCGTGCCATCAGCAACATGATACGTTACTGTGAGAGGTCCAAGGATGGTAGTATTCTCATATATAGTATAACTTTAAAAAAAAAAAACAAAACAACAAAAAAGAACAAAGCCAAAAAAAAAAGAAAAAGCAGAAAGAGAAAAAACTGCCATGCTTTATTTGTAATCAAAACAGTTAGATGTATAAAAAAGCACCATGTACAGAGAATACCAGAGGAAGATCCATCTTCCTCATTACACATTTCTCATGTAGCATTGCGAGCTGGCCTGCAGGTCCCAACTTGTACTGTAGCTTTATTTGCGAAGTTAAGGAAGTGGACAAACCTAGAATATGCTTGGACCGTATGACAGAAATTAAACTGGATTGCAGAGAGAAATTAGATTTGTTTCCATTACAACTCATACTAACCACCTTATAGCCCTCAGAGGTAAAAAAACCATGCACCAAATATCTGAGAAATAATGGGGTGAAAACAGCTCCAGAGCAGTATTGCAAGATGCAGGTCTGTTATGAATGCATTTCTGTGAGCTCTTGATAAGTTAAACTTTCCTTTGGGAAAAGAGCACGTCTGTTGGTTAAAACTCCTCTCCCTGAGAATTTTGATAAGAGTTTGTCTTGCAAAGCAAAACAAAGTCCTTTGAACTTCAACAGTTCCTAGGCCAACAGCATTTCAACGTGGTCACAGCGGATCTGCTTACTCATGCACCCAGGGTGGCAGGTTGGGTTTTTGTTGTGGTTTGTGTTTTTTTTTTTCTTTACATGGATCAACCCTTTTATACTCGCTTCATTCCTCTGCCCATCAAGCAGGCAAACACGGTCATGACCATCTTCGGTTTCACCTCCACGAGATCTTCTGGAAGAGCATAAACTCTGGCACCGATTCTTCTTGCCATGGACACAGCATACCTATTCACCACAGAAAGATGAATGGTCAGAACTGAGACTGCTACCAGTAAATGACAAGTCAGCTCCTGCCCTATCCAACACAGTTTCACCTATTATCCTCTTTATTAAGATTCAAGATGTGCAACAGTCCAATCACACCACATCTGTTTGTTTCATAAATGTTTTTTTGATCTTTTGCTGTATTCCTTTTCCACAGTAAAGTGTCTTTAATGTGCAAATAGACCCTTGAATGTCAAGTCCACTTTACCAACAGTTAAAAAAAATTGTAATTCATATTTGTTAGGGCTAATAGATAGCATGTATAACCAAGGATTAATCAGCTAACATTTACATTTCCCCTTCTGTTTGCTCTTTAGAAATAATCAAGCGAGACTATTATCTGCAAGAAACTTTGCTGTCATTCTACCACCGCAGAACAGTGACAGAACACACACTTCAAAGACATGTTTTAATAGGCATACTTTAAACTTGACAACCTATGATAATTCAGTGAGACATGAGACAAACAAGGGTTCGATTTCAAAACCCTGAGCACTTCAGATGCCTGAACAAACAGGTGAGAAACAGAATATCATTGCTAAGAACTGCTTGGGCTGTTCTGCATTTCCCTCAACAAGCCAGAGAGTCCAGCCAACTACTCCCTCCAGTGTTATGGGCAAGGACAGCAATTAGATTTCAAGTGCTGCCTGTCTAAACGATGCAGTGTTAAAAGAGATTGAAAACCACAGTAATAAACTGTGGTAAAAACACTTGCAGCTGAAGGCCAGTGCATAGAAGGCACACTCTACTTACTTAGCATTATTTTGTTTGTCATCTTCTGATAGATGACCAGTCTTTACAAGGTCATAGTTGATACAACCAGGCTGTATAGCATCAATTAAATCCACAACCGCCAAGCTTGTGCTGATAGTCTTGTCCTAGAGAATGCGGGGACAGACAAGTAAAGATGAACATCTAATCCTTAAAGCATACTTCTCGCCTCAATTCAGCTGCTCTGCAACATGCAACAAAACAAGCTTTAAACAGGCCATTTCAGAGCACCAGATTATTCCCAGCTGGACCACAGGGAAAACCAAACTGCTGCTTCTCCTTTGATAATAGTACAAGATCATTACTCCAATTTACTGCAAGTGCTCTGAAAATACAAAGCACTACCCAATGGGCAGGCAGCAGGTCTGCCCCGCTGACCAGACCCCAAGGGACGATGCTCACCTACAAATGCTCACCAGCTCCAGCCCCCATGCTTGCCAGCATTCCAGCCCCCACCTCTGCCCCAGAGCCTAACCACCCTCCCCTCCTCTACCACCCCATCAGCTCTCTTGCCCCACCACTATTCCCCACCATGGGCAGTCCTAAAGTCTCCTCTCTGATAGCTCGAAGCCACTTTGTTCCCAGCACAGACTGAATCCTGTCCTGTTTAAACCCCTTTCTAAGATGCCCCTGCTGTTCCTCCAGCCAAGGAAATAGTTTCTGGGCACCCCTCTCCTTCTGAATGCAAGAGGAGAACCCGCACCTTGAAGTTCTGGATGGAGGTGGACTTGCCGGCTGCTTTCAGGGTCTGGTTTACCCAGCTGACTATAATGTCATCATTGGCTTTCTGACCATCACCCAGGTCCTCGAGGACATTCAGCGTGTACCTGAGAACCAGCAGAGAGAACAAGATTAGGCACAGAGTGTGGGCAAAGCCCTGGTGAGCATGCAGCCAGGATGCAATGTGAGCCCATGGCAGCTTGGAAAGTCTTCACATACTCTCAGCTCTGCTTTTTTTTTTTTTTAAACTCCTTTAGCAAAAAGGAAGAATCATCTATCTTATCTGAAGTATGATTTCTGTTAAAGCATTTAAGTCTTTCTAGCCTTTCAAGTCCTTTAATACGAGATCACAAAATTGCCTGGACTCAGGACACTTGTTAATCTGTTTCACCATTGACCATTTGCTCCGTAGGGTTAACATATTACCTAAAAAGTGTGGATCAACTCATGGGGTTAGCATTCTGACCTCTAATGCCAAATAAGGAGCTACCATGAAGCTATTTTGCAGATATATATTATATATTTGCATCATCTTATACTTCTGCAGAAATAGATAAGAAAAAGGACAATCAACTTTATCTGTTATTAAGTGTCTCCTTGCCCCCATTCCAATGCAGAAGGGGGTTATAAAGCAGCCCTGGAATGTTTCTCTCTATATTTCCAATTAAAAATTAGAACATAAATTTTTCCTGCTTAGGGTTTCTGCATGTGGACCAGACTTGAGCAGGCAAGAGAGAGGTGATCCTGGTCAGCAGGATGTTCACAGATCCACCAGCAGGTTCTCCAGAGGTTTCTGCTCCAGCCTCCCATGTGCAGCAGGATCAGCTCTGCCACAGTTTTGTCCAGCTGTGTCTCAGAAATCCCCAAAGAACAGAGGTTTTACAGTCTTTCTGGGTGACCTGTTCCAGTGCTGCAGTGCTTTCATGGCAAAAAACCTTCCTAAATTCTGTACTCCATTCACAAGTTTTACATGTTTCAGACAGGTCCTACCTTCTCATCAACTGCCAGACTAAGGCTAGTGTCAGCGTTGGGTTTCCATCATTCAGATCCTGTCCTCCGATGCCAACCAGGGAGAATTTAGCTGGATGCTTTCCCAAGTCTACAGCGTAGTTACAGTTTTCTAGCTACACAGAAGAAGAGTTTGAACAGAAAATCACTCACAAATACACTCACCTGACTGGAAGCCTCAAATAGGAATTTCTAGTGTCCATGGCTTCTTTTAAAGTCTTTTGAAATGCCTACCTTTTTCATATTTGCTCCAAGCTTAGGGTACGGAGGCTTGTTAACCTTATTCCAGTCAACAGGAACTTTGATCTTTTCATATAATTGTAGTATTACCAGTGCGTCTTGGAGATCGCTGAAGTGGAAAACACTGATTAACCCTCATGTTTCAAGATTTAAATACACTCTGACTCTGTCACATCATGAATAATTACTACTCTTTACAGGTTGTTGCAATTTCAACAACCCTAAAAAGAAAAAAATTCAAAACATTTTGTAGTTTTCAGGGCAGGAGAAATGCTCCATGCTTAACATCAGCTAGCTGCTGAGCTAAAGCAGCTTTTAACATGGTAATCAGCAACAGATCTAGGGAAGAATTTTGCCACATAAAATCCAAAGGTAGCCACCTCTCTCCACTGACTACAGGGGCCCAGAGTATCTTGCCTCCTAGCTATGATGTCTTGGTTAAGCCCTAAAATTAGGTGACAGGGAATTTAGGTCCAGTTGCTCTAAAGCAGTTGCTCGAGCAGATCTAAATGTATTGGGATCTCAGAGTACCAATTTACACAAGTTAAGGGACAATAAACAAACTGTCTTCAGCCCTTAAAGGCAATTGCTGCTGTCAAGTGCTGGCTCAGAAATCCCTAAGCTACGCACTGCAGGCAGGGTACAGTGAGCATCTCCCACTCCCTACCATCACCCTTTCTCTTTGCCGAGCTCTTTGCTCGGCACTGTGGCAGCAGGATGCTGGTGCAGGCACATCTCTAGTCTGATCTAGTTGGGTCTCTCCCAAGAGCCTAACGCTTACCCATAGAGGTGATTTACATGGGGGTTCACACCAAGGGAGTTCATCCAGTTGCGGAAGGTCCGTTCCTCACGTGTCTCTCCTAGATGAGAGAAAACAGGTTCATGCAACTTCTGCAAGCTCAAAGCTGCGCAGGGTTTTCCACCTTGCAAGGCAGGGAGCTTTGAGCAGCATAGCTCCTCAATTAGGTTTTAGAGCAGAAAAATGGTATTTTCTCTACTATAATTTTTTCAAAGGAAGAGGGTTGCCCTGATATCTAGTTTTGGATATCAGTTTGATTTCTCCAGGCCTTAGAAGAGCATGCCTTTTGCACTTTCTGCAAGAAAAAGTAGCAGGAAGGTCTTTCACACAGATGTTAGCTAACTGCTGCCTCGGAGCCAGGCAGCCAAAGCCCTAATCCCAGTTCTGCCAACAATTAGTGCTCCCATGCACATCCCACTGCATTACTGAGGTGCTCCTGCCCATCGCAGGAAATGGCAAAACCAACTTCCCAGCCCTGGCATGGGGACTGACGGCTGCTGGCAGTGCCCTACAGGTTCAGGCTCCACATCAGGGTCAGAGCAGCTGAACAGGCTGTCAAGTACCCTTCTCATCTGCCCCAGATGAGTAAACAACCACTGCGGCGTTGAAGCCTCAAATCACAAGTGTTACTTCAATGGAGATACCTCTTCTGAGCACAGCTTCTTGTGATACAAGAGTTTACTTTAGATATTTCCCTCTTGCTAATTTTGTGACTGATATGGCCATCACCTTCCAGAAGGGTCCAGTCGATGTCCTGGTTTTCAGGCTTGGTAAGCGCTGGGTACTTGTTGAACAGGTTGGCAACAAAGGCCAGGTTCAGTTTGGGATTGCCACTGACCACATCAGCCGGCGTGACGAACTGCCGGCAGCCAAGCCGATCTGCCTGCTGAAGCATGTACTCTGCTCTCCGCAAGTCATCCTTTTCCTGCCAGGGATGCAACAGACAAGAGCTGTCATGGAAGAGATTGGGCTACAAAGCAGATGGGAAGCTCCTGACTGCTACCTGGAGCAATGTCACAACTCCACCCGCCTTCATGAGGCATCAGTTGATAATCAAAAAAAGGGATGAAGCATGCACACTAATCCCTGCTGCTGTGGATGTAATTGTCCCAGTTTGTCTTGGTATTTTTTTCCTAGTATGGTGCTTTCCAAGTTTATATGCTTTCCAACTACTATGCTTTTTGATCTCAGTGGTTCAAAAGGAGAAGCCAGTATGCTCCCAAATGGAGCAAAACCACAAACGATTTCTCAATCATATATGTTAATTGGCAGTTAGTGATCAAGCCCGCACCTACCACTCATTTAGCACATACCTGAGGTGCGCACATGCCCACTGACACTTTACACGCTCCAGAAATTAAGATACCAGGTTACCTGGATGTCATGGGGCAATTACGGGGTACAGGTAGTTCGCAACTGTACAGCATGAGGACACGATGGCCTGAATACTTACGTTGAAACCCGACATGTTAATATCAATCTGAGGCTCTCCTTCTTTCTGCCCTTTGGGTGCAATTTGATTGAGAAGGTGGAAATAAGCTCTGGAATCCTGAAATGGATGAAAAAGAAAATTCAGGTCTCCCGCGCAGCAGTGAATACACCATAACAATTCATTTCAGGCTCATCTTTAACAAGTCACTGTGCATAATTGGCTTATGTACCTTTACTGAATTACCAAAATCTGTAAGCTTAAAAGAGAGCATGATGGCAGAAATCCAGGCAGCAGAAAAGGAAACAGAAAGGGAAAAGGTTAGAAATATTTAAGATAAAAATTATGGGTTTTAACTGTTTGCAAGCTGCCTTTGCTGCAAGCTCTGGTGTGGCAGCCTCCTCTCCAATGGCTGGAGGAGGCAGTGACCCTGTGCTGCTCACTCTCATGGCCCCCACAGCCAGATGTCCCACGGCGGCCCTAACCCCTAAACAAGGCAGCCATTCCTACTGCTACAGCAACGATGAAAACGGCTCAGCGAAGACAAATTTCAGGCAAAAAGATGATTATAAGAAGTCTGAATGTTTTCTCCTGTGCCTGCCCATTAGCCAGAATAGCTTAAAGGAGAGAGGCCACGGATGGTCACAGACTAGGAGGAGCAAATAGTTGCAGTAATTATTTTATCAACTACAAGTCCTTTTAGTCCTCAGCACTAAGAAGGACCTCAGCATATCCTGGCAGCCTGTGGGTTGCAGACAAGCCAACAGCTATCAGCAAAGCTGGAAGTAATTTTGACGTTGGAAATAAGAGCGACCATGTGTATGTGCGCACATGCACACACACACAGGGGAGCTCTGGGCTCCCCATGCACCTCAATTATCAATTTTTTTTCTACCTCAACAGTCCTTGAACCTGGAATCCACTTCAGTCCTCTTTCTCCTCCTCAAAACTGCTGGCCACACAAATAAGCTCCAGAAACCTGCTGAGACCAGTATCCAAAAACCCCACACTGACAAGGAGTCACCACCCTCCATTTCTCACTAGTACTGAAAGAAAAGAGCCACCCCCTCACGTCTGAAAAACAGCTGTAAGACTCCCTGCTCCCGTTTCTATGCAGCCCAGTGTAGAGAATAAGGGGTCTCCTTTCCCTTCCTCTCTCCAGCCCATAACATTTTGGATGAAATGCCACCACCTGCCAAGTGTGTGTGGAAGTCATGTTCTCCAGGGATGCAGTTAAGCATTCCACCCTGTCTGAGCAAGCTGCATGCCCTTGAAAAATTATTTCCATCAAAAAAGATGGATTAAGAACATTTGAAAACACATGAGTAATACCAGTTTCCTACTTGATTAAAACATGCAACAGCTTTGCAGCAGGATCCCACTAGCACTGGAGGAAACACTCAGACAGTTCAATGTTGGGCTCTACCTCATGGCGAGAGTGAGCAGCACTGCAGTACCTTTAAATATCCCATCCATAAAACCCCTGTTAAGCCCGCTCAGTGTATTAAGGTTCAGAAAGGTCCTGTCTGCAGATGAAGGGCCTCATTTACACATGCAAACACAACTCTGACTGGCTCCCAGCCTTTTCCCAGACACGCGCAGGCCAGGAGAGCTCTCAGTACCTTGATATCTGAGCTGAAGTTATTGATTTTGTGCCAGCCTGCGTTTTCCAGGTGGAAGTTGGCCCATCTTAGCAGCAGCTCTTCTGGGGATAGTTTCATAAGGTCCTCCAGATTTTCACCATCACGAAGTAAGGCAGCCAGTGCTAGAAGAAAAATGTGTGTGAGGGGAAAGAAGTAGTTTTCAAGAGGCAAACCTGCATGCCAGAATTAGAGCTGCAGCAACATTTCAGGGGGAGAACTGGGGGACAATACCAACTACTGATTAAGTCAAAATAATCTGGGTATTAGTGGAGTTTTCCTGAATTGGTTGTTACACAGAGAAGAGTATGAATGACCTAGAAAACTGTGTGTAAAAAAATATTTTCCAGTTTCTTGTATAATATTCTCTGGATTGTACGTGCAGTCTTTTAAGCTGATGACAGTAAGCTAAATGTAAATGTATTTCTATCTCAATGAAAAAGTGCTTCCAAGCAGTTTCATATGCACTGTTAAAAAAAGCCAGAGAAGCCAAGACAAGCTCCCTTTCAGCTGGCCGGTGTTTCCCTTGCCACGAATTTTCAATCTAAGCCAAACAATGTTACCACTCCCTGATTGGGAGGTTTAAATAAAAGACACTGAAGCCTCTCCATCCATCTGGGTGCTCTGATAGCCCATGCAGGAATAACAGAGCTCTTTGAATGATTTGAAAAGTTTAAATTTTGGAAGCTGTCGTGCAGGACCAAGTGAGCACAGGGGGCGAGCTGCAGCACTGCTCTCCCACCATCAAGAACAGAGCAAGAGCTCAGCTGCACCACTGACAGTAGCAAGGAGGATTTTAGGAGAACCAAGTCATCGCAACACATTCCTGAAGAGCTGAAGCCCTCCTCTTTTTTTTTTTTTTTTTTGAGGAAGATGTGCAGTTGTCTATAATCCTAAAAGGATGTAAGCAGCTTTTGCCACCTCCCAACACCGTTACGTACCTATAGCCAAAGCACACTGGGAGAGCCTGCCCAGCCCGAGGCATCACAGAGCAACACGCTCATTCGCACTGCAAGGCTTGAGCCAAGATGCATCTTGACTTACAGACTTGTGTTCAGCCAGTTCTCCAAGGCTGACACGCGTTACCAGGATGGCACAACCCACCCGCCTGAACCTGCTTCACAGCTACAAGCAGGCTGGAGAGCACTCAGCTTGGCACATGCCCTGATGAACCCGAAGGCGAGTACCCCCTTTCAGCAGAGAGGAGGGGAGGGAAGAGGCAGCGACGGGGCTGGAGGTGACAGCGCAAGCAATGCAGTGTTCATGCTTTAGAAGCAGTCACCTATAGTTTCATTTACCTTCATTTCTGCTGAGCTCGATGTCGGCAAACAAGCCGATCTTAATGATCTGCCAGAGAAGCCCAAGGACCAGGTGGGGTTTCCCTTCCCTCAAGTCCTCTGCGCCAATATTGACAACATGACACCCGATGGCGGATGCAGAATTCAACGCCAGGTTCAGGTTCTCCTGCGAACAGCACAGCTGAGTGAGACACAGCCAGGGGAGATGCTGCTCTGCCTTTCATCCAGCGCCAGCAGAGCGGAGATTTCCCCCTTGTCCTTGCTCCAACAGCAGTAGCTCGGAGGAAACACTCCCAGCCACTCTGTGGCTGATGTTTTAACGGAGCTGCGGTGACAGCAGGCTGAATCAATAAGAACTGAACCAGGCATCATCAGGGTTTAATTTCAGCCTCTGGTATTTAGTTTCAGCCTCTGAGTTAGTTGCATCTAGTGGTGTCAACAAGAATAAGGCTAGAGAAACGTTAAGTTATACGAACACGCGCGCACAGGCATCCTCACAAAAACAACCTATTGTACCATGAAATGATTCATAGATAGCCAACGCCAATAACCATATTGTTTTAAAAAGACAGCGCTGTATATAATCACCGCAGCAATATCAGGTGCGCACAGCATTTCAGCAATTTTACCCATTTTGTCATTAAGTTAGCGTTTTTGTCTTTCGAACCATACCCACAGCACTGCCAATTATGCGCAGTACAAAACTGCCTTTAATAATTAACTGCAAGTTATAAAACTCGCTCCTTTCCAGAGTTCCACAATAATGCCTCGAGCCACCATGCTGTTTTCATTAATTCTATCTGAATACAAATTTCAGCAAAAATACAGAAATATGCTATACCTGAATTATGAATGGTGTGAGTTTCTTCTTGTTAATTGCTCTTTCATCAATCGTGTCCGGAACAGAAAGGTTGATCATTTTACTGGCAGGAGGAAAAACAATAACATTTGAACAACATTTAGTATTTAATCTCAACAAAACTCAATGCACTGTCACAATACTCACCATAGTACCTTTCCTTTTGCCTGTTTGGCTTTGTGTATTTTTTTTTTAATAAAATCAAGGTTGTGTAAATCAGAAGTTAATATTTACGTTATCAAGAATGTATTTGTAAGTAATAGCTAAGCCTGAAACCTTAAACATGTTACTGGCCACTACCTATCGCAGCTGCTGGAGCAAAAAGAGCACATGAATTATTCACAGCGCAGTCACTGAACTAGCGAAGACTCATTGCTCTATTGACATCCACTGCAGATTCTAGAAGACAACGTGCTTCCTCCTCTTGTTAAGGTGTACTACTGCTGGCAAGAAAAATCTGCCCCCAAAAAAGCACAAACGCTTCGAGAGCTCAGTGGGGAGCACGTGAGTGCAATGGATTTTTAGTCAACAGAAAACATGGCAAGTTTTTACTTTATATTATGAACTACTACCTACTCGGTTCAGTCTTTGCCTGAAGACCTGAATTACTTGAAACTGTGCGGGGAAGGGGGGGACACACAGACCACAAGCTAAAGAATAAAAAAAAAAAATAAAAATGAAAGGCAACGGGCAGCCCACTAAACATCTTTTGCGTATTGATACAGAGTTACTGAAATTCCAGGCTGATCCAGTTCTCCACTATATTAATTCCCTTACATTTAAAAAACAAACCAAAAACAAACCCAAAAGAAACTCCATACATAGAAGGTGGCTGGTGTTTAGCAGTCCTGGATGCCTTCTGTTTTCACCATGCAGCAAAATAAGTTACTTTGCTAACTTAGTGCAACTATTATCAAAAGCAACAAGAGGATTCCCAGAAAATCCATTTTTGGGTTAATTCATAAGGTCACCAACATTCCCACAGAGGTTACCGTCTGTCTAACCATCCAAGAAAATGAGCTATTTAACACATCTGCCCTCCCCCAAGCTACCTAGCATCAGGCTGAGTTTGCACCAGGACAACTTCTGCTCTGGCAGGGCACCTTCTCACCTTTAGCAAACTCAGTCTCAAGCCCAAACAAAACACTAGACAAAAATATCAGCTCGTGAAGTTGGCATCAAAGCTGAAGCATCACACAATGACAATGAAAGCCTGAGTGACTGAGCCCCTTTTTATATGTGCACAACATTATGCACACACACTAGTCACAAAAACAGCCTGAAAATTCCCCTAACTACAGTTTTGGCAAGTTATTTTGGTCTTTTTGTTTTTGTTTTGTTTCGTTTTGTTTTAAATTCAGGAGCTATCATGACTTACCATAGCACAATCCCATCTCCCACAGCTTTGAACAGGTCATCTGTATTTGGGTTCATTGGAATAACGTGCCTACAGTCGGGATCATTTTCCAGGGCTTTGTTTATCCAGTTTACAAAGGCATATTTTTCTTCCTCTAAGATAACCAATTGTAAATTTAATACAGACTTTTTCATAACATAGCAAAGATTTTCCAAAAGAATCAGTGTACAACAGCCCAGGGAAATAAAAGCCCCACTATCATTACCACACTACTTTATTAGTCACACGAAGTTTAAAGAAATATGACTTTCACTTCCAATTACCAGAATATTCCTGTTATTTACTCATTACTCAACAACTTTATTATATTCAAGTGTGACACAAGGACTTCATCAGCAAGCACAGTTAACAAAACAAATAAGCACACATTTAATTTACACACTGCTAATCTCTAATTCTGTCCTGCTCTCACCTTGACGTGAGATCATTCAGCTATCGGAAAACAAAAGCACGGCATGTGGCAGGACAGTAGAAATCTACTATTTTGGGCATACAGCCTCCACTCACCCAAGAGAGGAGCTGAAAGGCAGAGCAATACCTGAGTAGGAGTGCTGCGTCCCCTCGCTGGAGAGCTCCGAGGTCCCCCCGATGGCACAGATTCCCTCCTTCCTGTTAATTGCTTTTCTGAATGTTTTAGCAATATCGCTGCTTTTCACCTCTTGGAAAATCTACAATTTAAAGTGCTCTGTTAGACAAGAAAAACTTGTCCTCATAAAATGAAAGGACCACAGAAGCAGCTATTTCATCTTTGCTTTAAAGCAAACTTTGTAGTAAAATCAGCAAATGTGAAGGGCCCAGCAAGGGTGTAGTGGTACTAAATTTAACAAGGACAGTGGGCAGAGAGTCATCCCACTCTCTCAAACCCATATTGCAAGTGCCTATTCAAAGAGAAGCATTAGGCATGAAGTACCTCGCATACATTTACCTTTTCAAGTACATTTCAAGAGACCACGAGAAAAAAACGTGGTCTGAGAGCAGTCTGAGAGCAGGTACGCATGCAGCAGTTTCCACAGGACCAAAGCTGAGAAAGCTGTTGTGCAATTTTAACCTTTCTGTGTAAGCCAGACACTCGTGTGACCGTGACTTTAGTTCACACAAAAGACTTTGTGTCCACAACACAAGAAACAATTCTCTTTAACCATAGAACAGTCAAATCTGCAATAACGTGTAACAAGAGCTCCAGGTAAGGATTCCCACACCCCTCACAGTAGGTTTGGGCTAACTGACAAAAAACACCCTCACGTTTGAGGGCAGAAGAGATGCTTTAGCACAGAAAGATCACATGTGCCATTTGTGCAGGTTGTATGTTAGTATTAGTGGCCCTGAGGTCCTACAGAACTGAGCAACTATTAGGACAAAATACATTCAATGGCTTGAAAGCCTACTGTAACTCCCTCAAAACTTAACCAAATTCGTTTCAACCATGCTGAAAAGACAAACAAAACGTATGCAGGTTCTCTAGACGCTACCCAGAAAAAGGCAATGAAACAGCACTGTAAAGCAGAACAAAGTGCTTCTGTTAAAAAGAGAGGAGGGGACTTGCCCACCTGGCTGTGGAGGAGTCACCGCAGGGCCAGCCTGCTGACTGTCATGCCTTATCCTCCCCATCCCTTAAACACAGGGAAGGTGGCAAGTCAAGAGGATCATGCAGTGCAGTTAAACCATCTCCTGATGGCACGCAGAAGAAGTTTTGCTCACCCCAGTGATTAGGTAGAGCTGAATGAAGACTCAAGAGCCCAAAATTTTGGGGTTTTCTGGTTGGTTGGTTTTAAACATAAGGATTTTGATACAGATTTATTTATTTTAAAATTTGCTGGACTAATTACTACTATTGCATACCTTCTTTGAAAATACATCTTTAATGCTGAGGTACCACTAAGTCACTTGGCCCTAACCTCAAGTCAGTTCATGTTCTATACCATAAACCCCAGCAAAAGTACTCAGAGTTAGAAAACAGCAACAGTTCTGTTTGTAAAAATCCTACAATTAACCATTGCTTCTACTGTATAGCTTAGGTGCCCATAAGACATTTCATGTTCATTCAATCATTCGTACCATTCAAACGTGACAGAAGAGATTTATTTCTTCCTTCCTAGTGCAAAGTTAGAGTTATGGACCAGCTCAAACCAACAGCTGAAACATGCACCCAGCATGCAAGTGTTCACAAACTGCTAACAAACTCCAACTTACTAGTTGACTCCGAACTCAAAAGTTCAGAGGGTCTGAAAACAATTAAGGAACAGAAGGTGAAGATAAATTAAGAAATATCAAGAAAAATAGTTGACATGAAAACAGCTCCCTCAATGTACTGCATATACTTTTATTACTCTTTCAGCATTCAGTCAGAGTATAAAAAGGATGAAGGGACGGATATTGAACCAGTATCTCAGAAGAAGTGTTGTGCTTTTGTAAAAATAAATAAAAATTTCTGACCTATTTCTACAGAAGGTGGCTGAAGGTTAAACACATTCTCCAGCTTCTCATACCTCCTTACTCCTGTTCTTCCCTTTTAAGGCAACAAATGGATCTGACTCATCTCCAAGTGTGTCTTGAAATGCCTTCTCAAATCTTTAGCAAATACTTGTAGTCCCATTAAATTGAGAAAGGAAATTATACTGCTTCACTGGGAAAACAAGCATTCACCTCTGTGCCTGGAAAAACTGAGCAGCTTCCAGTCAATACTGTAAGCTTGGAGAACTTTTTTCCAGTTGTCACCTCATGTGGAAATGGTCTTTCAGCCTCCAACGAAGTTTTCATATAGAAAAAGCATGTGGATTCTTTTTGGTTTTCGTTTAAAAACCAACATACTTCCCCTCTATCCAAATCTAAAGGCTGGCAGTGACAGCACAAAAGACAGGTCCTATGCAGAAGTCTGTACAAAGAACTGATTTTTACATGGCAAGTCCTCAAAAGTGATCAGTTTGTAGGAAGTAAACTAGGATTACGGTAAATGGCCAAGAAGTCAGGTTCAACCTCTTCTACCCCCTTCCTTAGATTTGTCTAAAAGGGGTCCCCCAGGCTGCTGGAAATTCAGAAACACCACTTACATAGACAAACTCTTCAAAACTAATCTTCCCATCTTTATTCTTGTCACTGTCGATCATGAGCTTCTGGATGATCTCTCTCACTTTGTATCCGGGGAGAGGCAGATTGGCTTCCTTGAAGAGCTCGTGCAACTCATAGTCGCAGATGAACCCGTTGCTGTTGAGGTCTGAGGAAGAGAAGAGGCAGGAGAAGGTTTTAGAAATGTGCCAGTACCCCGACAGGACCAGCCGCAGACAGCGGGGCAGAAACACAGCCCCTATGCTCAAAAGTGCTTTATGGAGAGCAACCTGCACACTGGGGACATCTATAAGACATGGAGGTAAGGAGGAATCTCCTAGCGTGGCCCGTCACAGCACACTTGTTTTAGGGCCACATTGTGCAGAGCATTCATCTTTGCTGAAAGCAAGATCCATGCAGGACACTTAACACACAGCAGGATGCCCACACCAAAAATACAAAGCCCAAGTAGTACACTATTCAATGGACACCACCAAGAATACACCAGGAATCAAAGGCATGCAGTAAATACACATGGTGCATCCTCAGAGAGGGTCCCAGAGCAAGCTGTGAGATGCCTCTGGCTCTGGGCAACGGCAGGTTTGAAGGAAGAGCTGACCGGGATGACTCTCAGCACACACGACCAAGTCTGGTGTAAAAGTTTCACCACTGAGCATCTGTGTTTTCATAAATGATCTCCAGAGTGTTTCTTTTTACATCTAACTGCAGCTGGCTTTGTGTGTTAAAAATAGACGGTAATGAAACACAGCACTTCTTACTTTCTGAACTGAAAACACTAAGTCAGCTACACATTTACATTTTTTTATCATGTTGATAATGATGTTATCCATTTATCACTGACAGAAAATTGCAGCCAGATATTTCAATGCTGCCCAAGAATGTTCTGCAAGGACACTTGCTTTGACAGTCAACCACCAAGCCACAGCAGCACTGAATGCTTAGTAAGACATTATCGCCAAGTATATTTGGGAAGAAAGAAAACAAGAATCTAGTGTGAATCTGGAGCTTTTCACATCAACAGATACCAAACCCTTTGGGGACGTCATCACATCTATTGACTGCAGAGGGCAAATCCAGCAGCCCTAGCTTTTCTTCAGGCAAGCGAGGTTTTGCTGCCACCATGGACAGGCACGGGTTGGGTGCCTCCTTCCTCAGGCTAACCAGGATGAGCAGGCAGTGTGGTTCACAGCATGGCTGGTACCCAGGCTTCAGCAGCGTTGGGTCCATGAGCAGCCAGAGCATTTGAAGCAGTCGGATGGCCCAGATTCACATCCCAAGACATAAGCATGACCCTCCAGCACGTTCAGAGAGACAGGGATTCAGGGTATGTTGTACCAGCTCAGTAGTGACGTTAACATCCCTTTGCCATAGGCAAGTGGTAGAGACAGCCCAGGGAAGCTAATTCAGTGCCTGAGTTGCCATCTCCTCCCAAGGGCTGGGGCCGTGGGAAGATACCACGGCCTGGTATCAGATACTTGGATTACTGCTGCTGGTGGGGAATACCTGGATGGGCTGAGGAAGTGGAGATTTGGCAGTCTCCTACAATGGGCATTCAACCACAGGCTCTGCAAAGTCAACACAGTGCCTGTACTGAAGACATCAGCCAAGACCTTTAAGACTAAACAAGAGCAGTCTCTGCATTCAAGCAGCTGCATTACCTTCTCCCCCACATCCAGAGCTCCTGGTGCTGTGATGGTGCACTGCCAAGTGCAGCTTGCCACCACTGGCTATCAAAACCACACCGTGCTGCAAGGCACCCAGCCCCGCTCGGCTTCACCCAGCCACCATTCTGCCCATATCCCCCATGGGAGTATTTTTCTGCTCTTTATAAGGCAGCAGCCTCTCCCTAAGGCTGTAGAGTTAAATTCCACTCAAGCAACAGCTTCTGCTGCCCAAACGTCCTTGCAGACTGCGGGCTGCTGCCGGCTCCCAGGCTGCGCAATGGAAGAGCTGCACCAGCCCCAGTATTTGGTTTTGTTCAAGACGGAATCCCACACCACAGGCACCAGGGTCAGTATTTCTGCTTAAAGGAAGATACTTTCAAGAATAAATGAAAACAATCAGGATAGCTCTAAAGTCCGTTTTTGGGGTTTTTTTTTTGTTTTTTTTTTTTTTTAGCAGATTTTGAAAGTCAATTTACTTTTAATGAGGTGTCAGCGGTGGTTTTTAGGTTTTATTTCACAGCAATGTTCCAGCAAGCAGCATGTCCTCACCACTGCTCCAACCTTCCTCATTTTCCAGATCCATATGGGATTTTAAAATTATTTTTATAAGTTAGCAAGAAAGTAAAATTCAAATGCTTAGTGGCAAACATCCAAAGTAACACAGAGCAAACCTGTACTCCCTCCTACACCCCAGCCCCTAGGTCTCAAACTAACGAAGAACATCAATTCCAGTGGATTAATAAATATATTAAACTACTTTATGAAATGTCAGTGTTTACAATAATGCTGATGAAATAAAGTAGTTTGGGCAAATGATTAATGATAGCAACAGGCTGCTGTCTGGCCTTCAATTTTAGAATTTTATTCCAAAAAAATACAAGCTTACAAAGGCAAGCTTTATTAAACAGTCCAGCCTGAGATGTCATCAGCAAACTATTTCCCCTCTAGATAAATCACAGCTTCTTCTGTTACAGTTTTCTTATTACTAAATCTAACTCTACAATATGCATCTTTTCCCTGCCTCACAGCCAGTGAAGAAAATCAGACAAGGGATTTGCTAATCTCCAGGGCCTACGGACCCAAACCAAAACTTTGCTTTCACCCTCAGCATGCCTACAACCAGCACCCATTGCTTTAGCCCATGCCTGACTGAACTGACCACAATCCTTTGCCATGCTGCCAAATTAAGCAGGTAAATCCAGAAACACCTGTTCATCCCTTCTTCCAACCAAGGCACCACCTAAAAAACTTAACTTTTACATCTACCCAAATGTTAGTGGGCAAAGGACAGAGAAAAATAAGACTTCAAAATGCATACTGTATCCTTGACAGGATCACAGGTGTGATTTTGAGTCGGCTTTGGTAAAGGTTTTCCTCTTGACGTGTCTAGCTTAAGCTTTCAGAAGTGTTTCTGAACCAGGCTTGCATGTGCCATGTCTGAGCCTATTCAGAAGTGAAAGGGAAAAACACAACATGCAGTATTTCATGAGGCAGAAGCCTGTTGGGTGAGACACCAGGGAACCAAGCTCCAAAGCCCCCCATCTCTAACACATTGGAGAGATGCATGGGTAAAAGGATGCTTAAACCTGTTTAGAGCTCAGTTCTACATATGAAGCCCTGCAAGTCTTTTAAGGATACAACCGATTTCAAGGAATTAATCCCCAGCCTTGCATTTATATTGGTTTGCTTGCACAACAGAAACCATAACTTAAAAACACTGATTGAAATGCAACTGGGGAGTTAGCCCAGGCCATTGTCTGGTCCATCCACACTTGCTCAGCAGACCTCAATCTCAGCATGAAAGCATCAAACCTGGCTGCAGGGCAGATACCAGGAATTTACTGCAGCCTGGGTCAACATCTGCCCATTTTGAGGGTTTCGTTCACCCCTGCAAAGCAGCATCTTCCCAGTCTTCCGGGTGTGCTTAGTTCAAAGATTTACCTCTGCTCACTGAAAAAAAAAATAAATAAAAAATTAGCAGCTCTGCAGCACGAAGGGCCGTCTGAAACGCACGCTCACATGTGAGCACATGCGACTCAGGAGCATGGCACCAGGAAAGATGCTGCCCATCAGGAGGGGCTGCACACCAGAGGCTCTCAGCACCTGCAGGAGACAGCACATGAATCAAGTGTGCAGGATACACACTGCTGAGTAATACACCTTAACTCACTCAAAACCCTTGGGTCTCAGGGTCTAAGTTTTTCCAACTCTTAACAACATCCCAAACACCCACCTGTAAGAGTTATTCTTCCATAGTATGCTGGGAAAAAAATCAGTCACTGATTTACTTCATAAATTAAAAGGGCGTCTATGTCCCAGGCACTGTGGGAGTGGGATTTACGAGCAAGACAAGTCTGTTGGTTCAGCCCCACACCAAGTTACTGGTTTTGCAGTAAAGATGCTCTCATTTCAAGTTTTAGCTTCTTGGCCACAGAAAGGCAGATTTAAGTGTTAAAGCCTGGTGGATATGCTAGCCCGTGGTTTTGGCTTGGTAGCAGAGTCGAGTAACCTTAGCTAGTGATTGACTATGTGGTGGAATATGGACCCATTGTTCTCTTAACATGTCAAAAAGCCTTTAGCCCTGTAAACATGACAAATAGGCCTGAGACCCGTATCCCACAGGGCAGCTGCTCCCCTTCCCACTGTCTCTGTTCCCCCTCTGGCATCACAGTCAAATATACAAAGTAGTGACATTAAAATAAAAAGTAGTCACCTTTGCAGCACCAGCAAGTTCTGTACTTATTTCCAGCATTACTGCAGGCCCACCATATGGTGCCTTGCTGGATGTCCTGCAACAGGGCCAGACTTCAGACGGAAGGTGGTCTAAAATCCCTCTCTAACAAAATCTGAAATGGTATTCAACAGCTGAAGAGGCTGTCAAAATAGAAGCTATCCCAAATGAAATCCTTCGGCGTATGGCCCAGAATTACTAATGGAAGAAAGCGAAATTGTTTTAACAGACAAGCTACAGCCTGGATTCATTATAACCTGCCTGATGGAAAGGAAACTACAGCACATCTGAAGTTTCCTATTTCTACTGAAAGATGCATGCATGCCAGCGTACTAAACCTGGGAAAGGTCACAGCAGTGATGTACGGCACCATCTTCTGCCCATGTGCAGGTGGCGCAGCAAAGCCGCAATAAACAGAACCCAAAAGCTGCTTCAAGCTCTGGCTCAGCTTCCTCCAGACAAGTACTTAAAATAGCTTAAATAACAGGATGCAGGAGGGGAAAGTAACCCACACGTTTCCTTTTAAGGCTATATGCTCAGCAGGACACACTCTAGCAGGATCAGGGATCCCTATTTGCCTTAAGCTAATATTTCAGAGCATTGTTTTACCACCTTACAGCAGCGAACAAAGTGTTCAGCTGGGTTACGATTTTTACGTACGTCATGTTTCCAGAAAAGATGCTTATCTCCGCTATCAGAGGCAGGGAGAAGGAAGACAAATAAACAGAGCCAGTTTGCAGATTTTGTTCTGCCATGTCTCCCCTCTGAAGTGCCACTGTTTGGCCAAGTACATACATACACACACCTGTTCTACAGAACAAATTCAGAGATCAGCTGAGATTTGGAACAACCTGCTCTTCTCCCACTAACCTGCGGATCATACAAAGCCTAGACTGTTCTTATGCCCCACTTAATTACTTTTTTCAGATGTCAAAATGCTTTTTTCCCCACTGCTGTTTACCACTTGGATCACGCCCAGTACAAACACCTGGTTGTAGGATGCTGAGAGCTGCTTCTCTGAGCTGTAGCTGACTTCAGTGCTAACCTTAAACCATGGTTTCTCACCTGCGGACTGCTTCTAGTAAGCAACAGGTAGTCTAGGGGACCCTTGCCTTTTGCTGGCTGTCAGAGAACAGCACACCAGCTGCATGGGAGAGAGGGGACACCTTCAAGTGGCATGGAAGGCAAGTGGTGACAGAGTACATAGTAACACACCTCACTGCCTTCCAGCATCACCAGACGTCTCGATCCAGTCCAGGTGCATACAGAAAAGCTGGTCAAACACACACCTGTAAAGTCTCATCAGCCTACACATTCAGAGCAGCAACTTGACCCATGCTAGAGTTAAAGCAGGTCTCTGGGAAGCCCACGCAGCTGCACACTGGAGCAAGGCACGTCTTGGTGAGCAGAAATCACCCCTTGAGATGCTTCCTCCTCCCCACATCTCCTTTAAGACATCCTAGAAGCCAACCAGCTGAGCATCACTATTACTATGCTTCTCAGCTGTGTTCCAAGTCTTCCAGGTAGCTGGGAGACGAAAGAAAGGCTATTTTAAATAGCAGCCTTAGTCCAACTTTTCTTCACATTCACTAGAGATGGCATTAGAAGTTCCCAGGGAAAGTCACCCTATTAGCAACCAGTTCTATATCCCAGGGCAAATATGGCTCCTTTAGGCAAGAATAAAAAGGAATGCTAGCATTGAAGACACTCCTGACAGGCTTGTGGGCTGTACCATGCCTAAAGCACACAAAACAGAAGGCAGCTGAAAAGACTAGCAGATCCCATCTCACTTGTGGGTATGTCCAGGCTAATTATCACATTTCTCAATAATACCTAGGTTTTGACAGTGCTTGTATAATTTAAAACCAAACAGGGACCCACCTCCTGAGCAGGGTGAGCTGGTTTCCTAAAACAAACCAGGATTTGACTTGGGTTTCTCCATGTTTCCAGTGCAAAGGCAGCCAGCCAACCTAATCTCAATAATTTCCCCCCACACTTATGACAAAAAGCCACCACATTCCAGCCAGGTTATTTTAAGTTTATCCAAGGACAGAATGGGCTGCCTGCACCCCAGCCTTATTAAGGTTTGTACTCAGAGGCACGTTAGGCAGCAAGAAGCACGATGGTCACTCGTCTCCCTCTATGGCAGCTCACTTCCACCTGCTGGAAAAGTCTTGGGAAGAGAGAGACAGGAGAGGGAACTGCCTAAAATGCAGCTTGCTTCAAGTCCCACCAGGGAACACTGCTCCATGACAATCTTGTCTTTGAAATTCATATTTCTCTCTGCCGACTGCAAATTTAGAGTAAGTGAGAGTTTTAAGAGCCACCCTGCTCTAGAGGGCAGTTTACCCAATACAGATGTGAGACAGCTACCAATTTGTATTTATACCCAGTGTTCAAGAGATGCCAATGTCCAGTTAGGAAAACGAAACACTGGCTCTAATCACTTGTGCAACTCGTTCCCAGCCAGTGCCAGCCCCGGGTGTGGTGCCCCAGCTGCGCACGCTGACCTCAGCCCACACTGCTGCGGTCCAGCTCCCATCCGGCCCCTCCCTGGCACTTCTCTGATCCTCCAGTAAGCCATATCAGGAAACTAAACCAGCAGAAAACTATTTTCTCCATTATGTCAGCTTTTTGCCCATTTCAGCTTCCCGAAGCAGCCTGCCAGAGGCTTCTGCAATGCCAGCACAGGGGAAGGCTGGAAGGCAAGCAGAGCAGTTTGGGCTGTGCAACCCCTCGAGCACCGCAGGCTGTCAGGGAGGCGAGAACCAGAGAAGAAATAGAGCCACCAGAGGGCAATGCACATGCTGTGCAGCCGCAAAGCATTTTATTATCACCGCAAGTTGCTCCATAATGGCCAGGTAAACAGACACTAATTAGTTTTTGCCTACAAGCTCACCAAATGCAGTGCCTCAATGCACCTGCACAAACCAGAAACATGGCACCTACATTTACCATCTGCATGGCTCAGCCAATCTGCCAAAACCAACGTCATCAGATCCAAGCACTGTGCGAGCCCTTAAGTGCTGCCGGGGCCAAAGTAACAATACCTGTTTGGATATTTCTTCTGCCATCAGGAACCAACAAAGCCCACCCTGGAGCAGCACGGTAAGGCTGCCTGCCAGTGCTCACCAACAGCCAGACTGCCCACGTCCCTTCCTTTGTGCTCCTTGGCTAGAAGTGACAAGCTAGAGGCAGAAAGGCTGCCAAGGGACTCCTTGGCATGGAGATCACGAGAGCAGCCAATTGCCCACGTCCTGCTGGCACCGCTGCTCATAGGGGTGGGATAAACCCATTTCAAAGGTACAGCAAACAGGAGCAAGATGCCCTCCTCACTGTGACTTACCAACTTTGGCAAAGGCCTCCTTGAGTTCCTCCAGCTCATCTTTGGAGATTTGCGTGGTGTTGGCCATCTCATGAATTTAGGGAGTATCTAAAGAGAGAAAAACGACACTGTGTGAAACCAGGCTGCATTCAAATGCATGCAGTTTTGAACAGCAGTATAGCAACAATTGGTACCAAGGTCACTACAGTTCTTGAAGCAACGTTTATCTTTCCACTTTCCACAGATATGTGAAACTCAGAAGATGGGAAATCCACTCCTTAACAAGTCAAATATCCCATTAGCCTTGTTAATATTTAGCTTTGTGTATTTATTTTACAGGCAATGCTGTTCTGCACACATTAAGGCACCTGCTACCAGTGTGTTCTGTAGGTCAGGAAAGCTCACATCGGCAGGGATTTTCCACAATTTTGAATAAAATCAGAATCCAGAGTTAAAACATTAATGCAAGAGATACTGAACGCTCTGCCTGCCTGTCTGTCCCCCGAGAGCACACAGCTACCAAACCCAAATAATAAAGATTCTAAATAGTACCTGAAAAAGGTCTTTTTGCACAAAGTAGTATACTGTTTGTAAAACGGAAATAGGCACCTTTCCTACAAGAAAACTGTTTGAATAAACACCTGCTTATTTCCCCAGAGTCAGTCTCTGAATAAACCATGTAAGCAAGAGGCTGTTTGCACTGCCACTGACCCCTCCACCCTCCTGAGCAAGGCTCAGCAGGA